CCCAGCTGGGGACGGAACCTGAAACCCAGGCACGTGCCCTGACCCCGCGTCGAACCGGGGGCCTTTCACTTTGCGGGACGACAGCCAACCCCCTGAGCGACACCAGCCAGGGCCGAAGATTTATTTATCCCAATTGCTTACCCTAATTTAAAAAAGACAGTTAACATACCAAAGGACAGAAATAGAACTCAAGTTAAAGCGTGGACAAGGTCCAAAACCAGCAAAATTCCATCCAGCGTGGGCACAGGAGGAACCTCTGCCTGCGCTGTTTTCTGCTGCCCGGGCGCAGCACGGGCGAGAACGGGGAGGAAAGTGGCCGCCTCTGGCCCTGGTCACCCGCCTCCGAGCTGAGCCAACGGCATAAACGACCTCGTTTTTCAAGCAGTGCAATTTCAGGCATCATTGAGGGGGAAACAGTGTTCAGAACAAAAGCAAAGAAACCCAATTTTCTGCGAACTGGTCAACCCCCTCTCCGCTCCCTAACCGGGCCGGGGGGAGGGGCGGGGACTACATGCAGCCTCAGAGGGTTGTTTAGGGAGGAGGGAGACGAGACGGGGTGGGGGGGTGGGGGGTACAGACCCTGAGTTTACTTCCCGGAAAGGGAGGGCGGAAAACCCAGCCACGCAGCAGCAGGGGAAGGGAGGGCGCGTCCCCGGGGCTCAGACCCCAGAGAGACACCCGAAAGGAAGGGAGAGACGTCTTCAACCGGGGACGGGCGGCCGTTCAGGAAAAAAGAAAGCTCGCTGTGCACCGCTCCCTATGACAAAAGTAGGACCAAGGGATGGGAGGGGAAAAGCTTCCGTTCCACACAGAGACCTTCCAGCAGCTTTGAGCGCCGCTCTCCCTGACATTTGGAGGCAAAGGACGGTTCTCAGTCAGTCCCTCTGCTATGGGCTTAGCATGGTGGTACCGGTGAGCGTCGTTAAAAGCAGGGACTGTCGTGTGCATTTTTCAACGTTTTCAATTTTTCAGGGTTGCTATAAAGCTTTCGCCTGCACAAAAACTAACTTGAATAAAATAAAGGAGGCCGTTTAGACCAGAAAAGTGAAGTCAAGAACAGACGGCGCGCGGTGTGGCCGGGTCACCGGGCGGCGGCGGCGGCATCGGGCAGCCACGGCGCAGGTAGCGCTGTGGGCCGGGCGTCTGTCGCCGACGTTCTCCAGCTTTGGCTCCAGGCTCTATCTCCCGGCCAGGGAACGCCTGCCTCACAGTTTTAAGCGACTCGGGCCTCTACGGACAGGGCGGAAAAGGAAGATAAGAAAAATGAGAGGAAGAAGGGAAGAGCGTGAACGGCTCTGTCCTCCGAGCGCCTGCCTCCGTTCAGCTTGCCTGCCTGGAGGGGTCGCACCCGCGGGCACTAAAGCGGGAGGAATTCCGAGCCACAGGGCCAAAACCTGCATGGGAACCTGGGGAGGTTAAAAGTCGGGTCAGGAAGTAACAAAGCAAAATCGACAGGTGCCTACCCAGGGACACACAACCCGACACGCAGCTGCACAGGGAGTGGGGAACCTGCACGTTCCAGGAGGGACACACCGGTGATGCCGGCGTCTTTCCACAACCTCGTGGCAGAGACGGAAGTGACGAAGATGGCCCGTCAGCGCTCAGGCGTATCGGCCCAACGCCCTTCCGAAGCCTCAGGAAGTCCGCCCGCCCCGCCCCCCCAGGCACCACCCCCCACCCGCGCCCGGGCCGCTGCCGCCGGCCCCCCCAGCAGCATCCTGTCCAGGAGACGTGTCAGAGTCAAGGTCTCAGGGCTACTCCGATTAGTCACGAAGACCAAAGTGCCCACCTGCTCATGGTGGAACCTCAACGCCTCCTCATCCCACTGGGCAATGCGACCCAAGCTCACTCCAGGCAGACTTTGGGGGGATTGTGACCCCCACTGCCCAGCCTCGGCGGGGGGCTGCAGAGCGTCGTCAGCGTCTAGCCCTTCCCTGGCGTGGCCTTGACCCAGGCTGCCTCTGGTCAGGCACTGCCGTCGCCCCTCAGCCTGACGTGTCCGGAGCCTTGCCCTGAGCCCTCCCGGGGGACCGCAGGACCCTCCGCGGGCTTGCCTGTTGTTCTCCAGTCCCTCTAGTGGCGGCTGACCCCTCCTCCCCCGACCGACCCTGTGGTCTCAGATGAGTCACTAACATCTTTCAATTTCAAACAGTTACGTCTGTAGAGAGCTTTATACTGCACACAGCCTCCTTCAGTGCGTACGTGTGTGTATTCAATCAATAAATAAATCGTGCAGTATAAAGCTCCCTGCAAACACGGCATTTGTTTAGCACTCAGTTATCTGCTGCCTTACCATTGCTCCCTAATTACTTCATGTGTGTTTTCTTGTCTTTCCTGAAAGTTGATTTCAAACCTGTGGGAGGCCAGTTTTGTAACTTACACCTGAGCTGTGGCCGCTGGCTGGCTGGCTGGCGGAGGCAGCGGCTGTATCCCGTCTTGACCCCGCAGCTTCCCTTAGTCTTGACCTGCACCCTCCGCAGCCTCCGCCTCCCTGAGGAAGCCTGCGCCGGCCTTCCGGAGGCGTGCTGGCGGCTTTTCCAGCGTGCAGCCTGCTGCTCTGGGCACAGGGGAGTCTGCAATATTGACAGGCTCGCCGTCTGAGAATGGTTTTACTGTAGACGTGACCTGGGAGCAGCGATGACCGAAAGCTGAGAGGCTACGACATGGCCGCATCCACAGAGGGAGACTCTGCCAAATGAAGAGAGGAGATGTCTGGGGCCAAAACCTCTTCGTGTTCCCCGAGATGCAGGGTGGGAGTTCCCCTGAAGGCTATATATATATTTATAGGTATAAAAATCGGGGTTTTTAAGCCTTAAGAATCATAAAATTCACACACCAGCTCTGATTTCACCCTTGACAAGCGATTTGCTTGCGCTTTCCACGTGGTGTTCGTACAGGGTGAGTTTTCCGCTCACACTGACGGGAGCCCCAGGCCGGCGCAGCTCTTCTGTGTCTGGTGTGCTGGCTGAGAAGCGGCCTCTCGCAAGTTTATGCAGCAAGATTTTGGCCTCTTCAAAGGCCGCGCCCCAGATCACGAAATGGGAGTTTCTGTACTTACCAAGCAAGGGACTGGAAACTACAGTAATGATGTTATCAAAATAAGATCACCCCCCAGGCCCTGCCTGGGGCAGGACCAGCTCCCTCCCCCAGTAGCCCCGCTGCTCCCTCCCCCACAGTGGGGGGGGGCGGGTAACGGGATTGGGTCGCAGGCTGGCCCGCAGCAGGCTTCCTAGGAAGCCGCTCTAAGGCTGACAGCCCTGGGCCCGGCGCGCGAACAGCCTGAGGAGCCCGTGAGAACATCCAGTGTGGAGAGAGACGTGACACACGCCTACCACGAAAGGCAACGGGAAACCAAGGAGGCTTTTTGCGCTGAGAACCAGAGCCAGGTTGTGGTTGCAGCTCCTCACACTGAAGCGTGTGCTTGTCACCGGGGACCGTGTAACAACTCAGGAAGTCCGGGGCAGGCCCGAGGGGCCGCCTTTCCCACGAGCACCCCAGTGACGGCAGCGCCCCGACCCAAGGCCGGAGAGTGAGGGCCGCGCAGCCACGTTCGGGGTTGGCGTGCACGTAGGCTCTTGGACTTGTTCCATGGCTCCCCCAGGGGACCCGGCGTAGAACCACCACAGTTCGGAGGTGACCCAGCACAGGCCGCAGGCATCCGGGTTTTGTGCTAGAAACGGCGTCCCCGGGAGGGTGCTTTCTGAGCGTATCCGCTCTCATCAGGGCACACGGGTCAAGGGGCGTATTGGTCTCGGACGGGTTTCTCGTGGCTAAGCTGTGGGCTTTGCTCAGCTGCCCCGAGCACGCCGCCCGCGGGGGCAGGGAGCAGGGCGCCAAAGACCGAACAGCGCTGGGAAGAGGAGCGGTCCCCCGGGCTCCTCGCCCCAGCCAGGCACCTCCCGCACCTCCCGGAAACACAGCAGTCAGGCCCAGATGGAACAAAGCCCCTCCGTTCACAGCTCGCTGTGGGCTTTGCACGGGCGGCCCGAGGGGGCTGAAGGAGCCGTGGACTCCTGCAAACGCCACCCCTTCCCCACAGCGACCCTGAACTTCCCAACAGTGGAGTCAGCCCCCCTGCCGGAAGCAGCCAGCGGGGAGGGAAGATAAAGACGAAGCAGCCAGACGAGGCCCCCACGTACAGGTGACTGGAGGGGTGGGCGCGGGAGTGGTTTCCTTGTTGGAAAATGATCTTATTTGTTAAATCCCTGCTTTGTTATGGAGTTCAGTATTTTTTTCAGCTACGGGTTGCAGCCCATCGGTGAAACGTGAAATCATTTTCACGGGTCAGAACAAGGTGTTTTAAAAATGCAGTCCACCGAGGCGCCTTGACGTTCAAATGGGAAGTAGTGCTCAGTCACGTGTGTCTGTGAGGTAGCCGGTGCAGTTCATTTCTTGTTGCGGGCCAGAATCAAAACACACTGGGCCACGGGTTCTTTTATGATAGAGGAGGGGTTGTTAAGCCACCGTTGTTTACACTCGGCGCTGTACTCGCCCAGCATCGCCTTAGGGAGGCGGGGCCGGAGCAAGCAGCCTTTCAGATGTTTCAGTGCCCTTCCACTACAAATTCCTGGAACGCACAGAGCTTGCTTAAAATCCATCGTACAAAATTCAGGTCCTTCGGGGCCTCATCGCATTAGCAGATCGACGCCGGGACTGCCGTTCCTGGGTCCCGGGCTCCCCGCCCCCTGCATCTAACCCTGCGGGTGGCGTCACGGCTTCCAAGGTACAAGAGCACCATCTTCTGGTGAAATAGTGTCTCTGCGGGGAGGGTGTTAAAGAGCTCCCCGAAATGTCCTGATTTTTCTTACAAAAATTGCTACTGGCATCAGAAATACCTTGACATCCTTCCGCGCACTCTGCCTGGTTCGGGGGTCGCTCCCTTCCCCCCTCTGAGGAGGGTCTTCCTGCTCCGCCCGCAGGGAAGCAAGCTAGTCTGTCCTTCCTGGTTTTCCGTTAAACGCAGGGTTTCAAGTTTCAGCTCCTCCTTGAATTCCAGCGCCGCCCTGCCCCAGAACCCTCCAAAATGGAGCCTCTGGCCGCTCACCCTGCGAGGTGCTCGGGGCCCAAGGCCAAGGTGTTCGCGGTCCTGCTGTCCGTGGCGCTCTGCTCAGCGATGCTCCTGCTGCTGCAGCTGAAGCTCCTAAAGCCCAAAATCAACAGCTTTTACACCTTCGAAGTGAAAGATGCCACGGGAAGACCCGTCTCTCTGGAAAAGTTTAAAGGCAAAGTAAGTCCCATCCTCTGCTTTTCGTGGCTTTTTTGTTTGGCCGCGTCCTCCGCGCGTTCCCTTAGTGGAATCAGTCTTCTCAGCGAAATGCTCGTGGGATCGTTCGTAATAAAGTGATGTGGCGGGTACATCGCTGTAGTCATCGGCGTCCTCCTAGTTTCTAGACTTCTCATTGATGAACTCAGGTTAACTTAACTGTTTTTCTTTGAAGGGTTTTCATTTGTGTGCTGAGTGAATACTTTAAGTTGTTCAGGAAATTCTTACGTGCAGTTCGTAATGTGACAATGGAGACGTCGACTGAACAGCATGAGCTTTTTTTTTCTTTCCTTCTTTTTTTTTTTTTTTTTTTCAATAAACCATCGTGAGTCCTTGGCGCTTTCTGAAAGGCAGCGCACTTTCAGCGTCTCGTCCGGGCGTCCCGGTTGGCACTTTCAGTAACGCTGGGTGTGCCCACACGTGTGAAATAACCACCTATCCTCCCCCACCCCATGGCTTAGGATTTTATCTACTGGCAGAATTTCTGTGGGTCTTTTCTCCGCTTCACTTTCCGGTTGGGTTTTTTCTCTTTCCGGGAGGTCACGCTCGTCGCCAACGTGGCCAGCGACTGCCAGCTCACCGGCAGGAACTACTGGGCGCTGCAGGAGCTGCACCGGGAGTTCGGGCCCTTCCACTTCAGCGTCCTGGCCTTTCCCTGCAACCAGTTCGGGGAGGCAGAGCCCCGGCCCAGCAAGGAAGTGGTGTCTTTTGTGAGAAACACCTACGGAGTCACCTTCCCCATCTTCCACAAGATTAAGATTCTGGGGCCGGAAGCAGAGCCTGCCTTCAGATTTCTCGTTGGTAAATGTCTCTCTTGCCTCCCCAGTTTCACGTGGTTTGTTGCTTTTCATTTTCAAGCAGATGTATCAGAACCAGACTTTCCAATTTCATTGGACATGTTTTAGTGGGAACATTTCATACAACTATCAAAGAGCCGGAATTTTATCCTTTTGAACTTCCTAGAAGTTACGCTTCCCTGAAATCCATGTTTTAACTTCTGGGATGCCAAAATAATTCTGGTCCACTCTATTTTATTCCTGATGCTCGTTTTACTGACAAATGTGCTTGAAGCGTGGGCTGAGCTATTTTCCTGGAGTGTCTTATTCTCCTCACACCTCAGCAGCCTCTGGGGGCGCGTCCCTCCCGTTGTTAGCGGGGACCCTCTCTCCTGAGCAAGCGAGCACCGTGGCTCCATCATCACCGCGGTGGCACCACGGTGCCTCACGTGCCTGCGACGGCTGCAAGGACGGACAATGCTCAGTTTACTGGGGTTTTGCTAAAATTCAAAAGAAAATATAAGGATTTTTTTGGAAGAAGTAGTGTTACGGTATTTCTACAGTTAGGCTACTAGCTACAGAAATCTGTCAGATCCTCCAGCATCACTTAGCCTGAAGGAGTGAAGCGAGTGAGGGTTAGTCACCAAAGCACAGGCTTGGGCCCCTCCCTCAGCTGCTTTGCGGTGTGGCCTCGGGCACATAGCTCTTCTGTGCCTGTTACCTCGTTTCTGAAAGGAGAGCGTCACTATTGTCTGCCTCCCCAGATTGTGTGGAGCAGGTGTTAATAGTGAGAGTAAGGTACGTTCACACCGCTGACCCTGGGCCGGACACGGTCCTAAAGGACGTTCATGCCATTAGCGGCAGATCTCCTCGGTCCTGTTGTCACTGTGGGTCACCTGAGTTCTGAGAAAACCGTGACTTCAGCCTTGGCTGGTGGGGCTCCGTGGATGGAGCGCCAGCCTTCGAACCAAACGGTCACTGGTTCAGTTCCCAGTCGGGGCACAGGCCTGGGTAGAGGGCCAGGTCCCCAGCAGGGGCCGCGCGAGAGGCAACCACACAGGGATGTTTTTCTCCCTCTCTTTCTCCTTCCCTTCCCCTCTAAAAATAAATTTTTTAAATCTTTTGAAAAAAGAAAAAAAGAAACTGACTTCAGTCAGGCAGTGAAGCTGCCAGTCCAACCAAAGGGCTAAGGGTGGCCCTTAGGTGCACCAAGGCAAGAGAAGCCGGCGCACGCTCCCGAAAGTCTCCATCGCAGCTGCCGAGCACGGGGGCACAGTGGCTCCTGGGTCCTGGGACCCTGCACTCCTAAGAAAGCTTCTCGAGCTCCACTGCCCCGGGTAGGCACGAAGGTCACGTGACGTAAGCGTTCCCCGGGGCCGGTGATGGTGGCCAATTAAAATCAGGTCTTTTAAACTGGCCCGCCTGGACAGAACTGAAGCCGGTCCAGGCCCGCCGGTCACCCAGGGGCCGGGGTGCAGAGGCAGGTGGGGGCTGCAGCCCAGCCTAGCGGCAGGACGGCAAGATGTGCTGAGTGGCTGCAGCTCCCCCTGCCCCGCTCCCCGCGGCCCAGGGAGAGCAGCCGCTTCCCATCCGCCACCGCTGGTGCCCGACCCGGAGGGAGCCGTGCCCTGAACGCACTTTCTGTTATAGGAAACGGCTGTGTTTCAAAATGACTTGAGAAGATGTTAACATAGCAATGTGCTCATACTGAGTCATTGATGTTTGATTTAATCAGCAATACTTCTAACAGTGAAATAACCAATGTAAATGCTCGACGCAGCGTGCAAAGTAAAGCACACAGAGGTAAATATTGGGCCCCATCTTACCATTTTTGACCTACGCCCCCTGCTGGCTCTTCTCCCACCTTTAACGCCCACAGCGGTGCGCCCTTCCAGCCGCTTGCTCCCTGTTTCGAGGGGAGCCAACACGGTTCCTCCCCTCCCCACCCCCCCACTTCTCACACCTCTGCCTCCGGCTCTGGGCCTGGTGGCCTTGGAGCCTGGGACTCCCCTTCAGGCCCCTTTCCCCCTCCTTGGCAGGCACCCCTTTTCTGCCCGCCCTTAACCCGGCTGATGCTCAGGATTTTCCCCAGAACCCATCTGGGCTCTTCTTGTTCTACCCTCTCTCTGCGTGAGCTCTGCCTCCTAGGCTCCGACACCATAGACCCAGCGGCCTCCTCCGGCTGAGTGCCCACAGACACCCAAGTCCCGCGCGGACGGGAAAGAGCTGGCCCTCTTCCTCTGTCCCCTGTGGAGGTGACAGAGCCTGAGCTGGGAAGGAAGGCCCTGAGGTCGCTCCGGGCCCTGCCACCCACTAACCCGGGGACCCGGAGTCCAGGCCGCTGTTTTTCTCATCTGCAAAATGGGGTGACGATGACGGCGCCCAGTCGGCAGGGTTGCCAGCCGGGCGTCCAGCCCGCGGCCCGCAGGCCCCTGGCGGCCCAGGATGGCTACAAACGCAGCCCAACACAAAATCGTGAATGTGCTTAAAAACTTTTTTTTGCACATCGGTTTTCATTGGTGTTTGTGTATTGAATGTGTGGCCCCAGACAACTCTCCTCCGTCCAGCGTGGCCCAGGGACGCCACGAGGCCGGACCCCCCGCGGAGGGTACGTGAGGGACCCATGCAAAGCCCTGAGCGCACCGGACTGGGCACAGAGTTGGCAGCGGGTAAACCTTAGTTATAGCTGTTTACAGCCCTTCTCGGGGTAGTCGGTAACAATGCACAGGAATCCAGGGTGGCATAAGTGGCGGAAAGTCTGCTTTCTTATATGTAAATTAAGATGCATCGAAAGGATTTCGTAATTTCTCAAAATAATATGATTATTTAGAATTTACCATTTTTAGCTGTGGAATATGTAACTGTATTAAAAACATGGATATACTTAATATGAAAAGTAATCCACACATTCCCTTTACAAAGGGCTTTTAGAATATCATTTTATCTTTAAAAAATTCTAAGAAATGGTTTTTGACATGAGGACAATCCTGGGACTTAATTCTAAAGTCGTCACTTATGCGGCCCTAATGGAATTGAAAGTCTTGACAAAAAATAAAATCCTCCTCATGAACATATATTCTGATATTTTAGATTCTTCAAAGAAGGAACCAAGGTGGAACTTCTGGAAATACCTGGTCAACCCTGAGGGCCGTGTTGTGAAGTCCTGGAGGCCGGAGGAGCCCATTGAAGCCATCAGGCCTGAGATAGCCGATCTGATTAGACAAATGATCATTAAAAAAAGGGAGGACCTCTGAAAGCGCCGTTGCCGTGCCAGTGTGACAGCCAGGACACAGGGGTGTCTCCCCGAGGACGCCCCCTCTTTCCAGGTGCTCTGACAACCGCGTGCGGCACCGAGGGATGATTCTCTCTCATTGTGCCAGTGAGTGGCCAGGAACATCTCCCCAACAGAGATGTCACCCAAAGCAAAAATAAAAGTGCCCAAAGACTCAAAACAAAACGCACGCAAGACTTCATTTGACCGCAGGGAGTGACTCGGAATACACAGTCCCCACTGTGCGCCCGGAGCCTGGCGTTCAGCTTGGCCTCTCCTAGGCACGTCCCGGCCGGGAGCGCCAGCACCCTGGGCCGCTGAGTGCCAGACACGGCGTGTGACTGCCGCTTCTGCAGTAACGAGCTGTAAGTGACTATTTTTATGTAATAAAACACAAAATAAACATGGTAAAATGTATGTGCATATAGATTCAAATCCTTAAGTATTTTTGTTTTCTTCCTGTGCAAGATTTTGTTTGTTCATCTCTTGAGTACAAGTTCATAGTATGTTTCACTACATCTGGCCCAAAAGCCAGGTATAAATGACACTGCCGTGACATTTGAAAATGTCTTCATTATTTTCAATATTTATTACTTTCCAGAGGAAACTCAAATTCCGTAAGTACAGTATTAACAGTTGGGTCGGTATCTCTGAGCGAAAATCCCAAGTGTAAGAAAAAAGCCATGCGTATACGACCATTGCGCTGGAATCCTCAGAGGCTGTGTCTGGTGGCTAATCTACTCGGACCAGGTTAGCCGTGTGGCGCAAGGGTTCACTGTCACTCTGGTGGCCGAGACCCTAAGAACCGCCCCCAAAGCGCCAACACGCTTCACGGAAAGAGGGGAGCAGCGGCTGAAGGGGCCGGGGCCGCCACTGAGCCAGGTTCTCAGAGTCCCCGCAAACTTTCCCTCCCCCAGTCATAACCTTTCTGTTTTGCCAGCCACATAATTATCAGCCAACCAAGCAACCTGCCAAGACGGCCAAGGCTAATCGTAGCCCCATGAAACAGTCATTTCATGAAAGGATTAAACAGGAAGCCAGGAGAAAAAGTGAAAATACAGGCGTGTGACATCCGGCAGGGGAGGAAGACGACCTGACCAGCGGCGAGCCGGCCCCCAGGCGCCGCTCGGTTACTGAACGTGCAGTCGCCTCTTCTCTGCGGGTGGGGTCGGCAACGCCGCCTCCGCGCCGCACGTGTAGTTCTGCGCAGGGGTTTAGACTGAGGCTCTGAAAGGAACCGAAAATATTTGCTGGAAGGGCCTTCTTCAACGTACATGTCCAACCGCCCAGACTGGACGTGCCCTGTAAGACATTCGCTGGGACGGAGGCGTAGCTCCCGCCAGGGCTCAGGTGCGCCCACGGGAGAGCCAGGTTAGTGAGTCGGCGGCCTGCTTCTACCTCTGGCCCGCAGCAGGCCTTTGGCCAGGCCCGCTGACCCCTGCTCAGCTTCCTCGCCTGTAAACCGCGGGAGGTGAGACCGAACAGAAAGCCGTCCCGACTCTCCGTCGGCGGAGGCGAGGAGGAAGGAGTCAGGCCCACGCTGGATTGGATCGCAGTTGAGGAAACAGAAGCCACTAACAAGTCCCCCCACCTTCAGTAGCTCTGCCCCAGGGGCCTGTTCGCCGGCGGATTCTCAGCCTCGGGGCAGGATCTCGTTCAGGGCGACCCTCCAAGTGTTGCCTCGAGGGCGGCCCTGCCCTGGCCCCGCTCCGACTCCCGGGAGGTCACGCAGAGCGATGGGACCGCGGTGTTGGGGGTGGGGGCACTCACATCAGGGGTATGAGCGGAAGTGTCTCCATCAGCCACACCGATGGCACGGGAGCTGCACTGGGGGGCGACCAGGACTGTCCCCAAGCACATGACTCCGATGGCCCTCCTCCCCACACGCGCTGGTCACCTCCCAAGCCACACAAGGTGGGCTTTTTGCTTGTGCATCTCCAAGCCCAGCTGCTTTATTCAACCTACAGCCTCTGCTCCAGTTGGCGTTTCCTTCCGTCCCCTAGGCCTCCGGTGTGCAGGGGAGGCAGGCGGGGCTGGGCCAGGGTGCCCCGGGCATCCACACACGTCCTGCGGCGGGCTTGGCGGGCAGAAAGGGGGTGGAGCGCACTGGCCCCCGTAACTCACGTCTTAGGTGAGGTCCTCCAGGTGCACTGAGGAGCCACGGCCTCTCTCTCCATGGAAGGCGGGGTCTTCCCCGTCTCAGCAGCCGCAGGCCTGGGGCATGGCTGCTCTCGCGGCCTGTGTGCGTGGCCAGACAAAAGGCGGGCGGCATCGGCCTCGCAGGACAGGAGCGCGGCCGTCGTCCGCAGGACAAAGGGACAGAGTCAAGGCATCCCATCGCGGTCGACGCCCCGCTGACCTCGGGGCTGTTTGGGCGGTAGAGGAACACTCACACCAGCTCCCGTGCCTCCTGCGGCCGCGGCAAGGGCGCGGAGGACACAGGAGATGTGAATCTGCCTCAGATGCGCCCGAAAGCCACGCTCCCTCGTGGACTGCGCTTAGCGATCGCAGTGTGTCCGTGGGATGTGTGTGCATGTGGGCACATTTCTTAACACTTGAGGCGCGGGCAGTGCCTGCTCTTGGGAGGGGGTCCCACTCTGCGCTCCCGCGCGGCCGACGCCAGCCTGGGGGTGGTTCAGTAACTGGGTGCCCAATCCTGGAGAATTTGACCCCCGGGTCTCCCAAGCCCATCCGGGCAGGCTCCAGAACATCAAAATTCTTAAAAATCTGACTTGATCGGTGTTTCAGAGGGCTCTCCAGAGGTAAATCTAGAGCAAAAACATCATACGTCCTCTTCGTGTTTGTTACAAACGTGCCACTTGGACGGGCTAAGTAATGACGTGGGCGCACCCGTGGGCGCTGGGTCACGGAAGGCGCCCGCACTGCGCCTGGGGACCCCCTCCCCCTGCGGCCCGACCGGAGCATCCGCTGGGCGCTCAGGTCGGAAAACCCTGCGGCGAAGGAAAGGCAGACAAAGCCCGAGAAAAGCAAAGGCCGCAGGTCCCGGGGCCCTGGAGCGCAGGGACCGGGTCGGAAAGCCTGCGCCCCCTGCGGGGCTGGGCTGGCCCTGTCCGAGCCCCCACTCCCTGGGGCGGGCTCCTCGGGCACAGCTAGTGCAGGGACCCTCGGCCCGTACCCAGCCGCGGCCTGATCCCCCTTTGCCATGGCATAATGAAGCTCTAAGGCCCGCTCCACCTCGGGACCCCCGCACCCCACACTCTCCTCCCCGCTCTCCTCTTGCCCATGGGGGGCCGGGGCTGAGCTGCCAAGGGAGGCAGCCCCCCGCCCCCGCCGAGGTGCTGGAAAGCACAGGGGCCGCCCCAGCAAAACGCCTGGGACAACCCGCTCCAGGCCAGCGGGACCTCGCCCTCTCTGTCACCCCTGTCCCCCCCTTTCCCTCCCGGCTCCCCAGTGTGCCCCCTCCTCCCTCTCACGCCTACAGAAACCTTCTCTTTCTGAAGGTGTGTCCTCATCCTCCTCCCTGCCCACGGCCTCCCTCGTTTCTCTTCATTTGCTCCCATTCGTGCCTCCTCCGGGCCCGGAACGGGAGAGCGGCTTTCACTGCCTGTTCTCCCTGTTGAGCATAAGCGCTGGCATTTTACATCTTCTCTTTAGCTTACGTCTTCTCTTTAGTTTACAAGCATTAAAATACAAAGGCCAAACCTTCTACATGTAGTAGGTTTTATTTTCATCAAAAGGTCAGTGACTTTCTATGAAAAATCACATGCTGAAATTTAACCTTTAAAAAAAAAAACAAGATGAAAACAATATTTACGTAGAAGCGATATTTAGACACGAAGATCCTGCAAATGACACTGGGCAACAACCAACAGAGGGTGAGATTTCAGAACAGCAAGATGCACAAGAATGGAATTATGGGCGCTTACTTAGCCCATGGTTCTAGAATGTTTCAATTTAAGGTAAGAATAAAATTATGCTACCAATAACTTACAACCCAGTGAGTGGGGCCTGTGGTCCAGCTCCCACACCGTATCGTGGGTGTAACTAGTTGCCCTCCCACCCGGCCCGCCCCCCGCACCTGCCACTGGGCCCGCCCGGCGCCCAGCGGCCTCGGGCCCAGCATAGCCGGCCCTGCTCGGCGGGTCAGCAAGGCCTCGCGGGAACAAGAAAACACCTAAAATCGTGCCGCACTGTCGGTTCTTCCCCCTCCAAACCTAACGCTCATCCTCACTTCCAAACGTGGCTCCGTGACGTCACCAAGAATGAAGGGAAAAGTGAGGCACGTTTTCCGCATAACTCAGTCCCATCCCCCACCTCCACCCCCGCACCCAGATTCTCTTGATGTGCCAAGTGACAATGTTCGGTCTGGAAAGGTGCCCCAACCTCCCCTCAGCAGGCGCGCACGTGGGTAGAGAACACTGCTAATGCCACCCCTGAGCCTGACCCCACAGACAGGCTACTAAAGGCAGTCAGAAATGTGGGGAAACGCTCAGGCTTTCATTCCAAATTGTCGTTACAGTCTAAATTCTTTAAAGTAAGTATTTAATTTCACTAATAATAAATATTGAATGTCACGAATACTTTAATACTGCCTACAGGTATTAGAGACCCCAAATTACTACCTGGAAACTTTTTCAATACTCAGAACAGCTTCTCCACCGTGAGAAAGCTGTCTGTTGCACTGTAAGTGAGTAACTGACTGGCAGTCGTATGTATTATGGTACTTGTTCGCTGGTTCAGAGCAAAAAGAGCGTGCACACAGTACTTACAGGTTTGATCATACTCGGATGCTCATTGTAAATGCAATAAGGTAGCAGCTGCATGTTAGCTGATGCCATTCGCTTATCAACCAGCTAACAGTACACTGCCAGCCCATCGCACACAGCAGCCAGTGGGCATCGGTGACCGGAAGAATTCATCCAGAAGCAGGTGGCAGGTGGCTGTGGCTGCCGGTCCCACCCGCAGCGGCCAGCCAACCACGCACTGCCTGCCGAACTCAGGTCGCCGCTGCGGCTGAACTTTCCGTGGGAAACATGGCCGCAGAGCTCCGATCTCAAAATGGTCACATTGGTGAGAACGTACAAAGTGTACCCCTCCAAAACCGTTGTAAAAAATAACACCAAAATTTTATTGAAGCTTGTGAAAAAACTTAAAAAGAAAAGCTTTCACAATGCTCCCACTTGAAGTTTTCCAAATTAAAATCCTGGGTATGAAAACGGTTATTGCAGTATAAGTGAATTTTTACAGTTATACTTAACTATAGTTTTTCCAATCACTTCTGTTTACTGGCAAAAGACCAGTCACATGCCCGGGAGTCACGGTGATACATAAGCCTAGCGTAAGACCAATCGTCAGCTATGTTTGGGGGGAAATCAATGTTAGAGAATTTAGGAAAGAACTTAAATGT